GGCTGATTTATTTACACTTCAAAACAATTAATGACATTTACCCATTTAATGAATTTCTTAGAATGAGATTTAATTTGGACAGTAATGTAGGCTGTGTACTTTCTGCTTGAAAGATATCAAATCTCAGGAACATCTTTTTTTACAGTTGTACTGTTGTTAGATACTTTGGGGTCAGATTGTACGAGTGGTTGAAGACGAAAAATGTAATGCAATCACATTGGGTAAATTTGGTGTCTTTATGCAAAACAAGGAGATTTCTAATGCTTACTTTTTTAGTATCACTTTGTTTATTATATGCTGCTTGGATTTATTGTTTATGTGTTTAACAATGGAAAGATGACTGCCTGTTTGTTATTTAAAGGTTTAATAAAGCGGGAAAAAAATACTTTTATTTTGGTGTGGCGGTGTGACGTCATAAGGCTGCGCTGCGCTCCTGCATTTGTGATTCGGCTGAAAAAAAGTGAGTGCTTTTATTCAAATGTTACTTTAAAGTGTTTAAATATACACCTCGTTTACGTTCAGTAGAAAGCGCGCGCGTTGCTGGGACGTAAACAATGCTGATTAATTTTTCTGCGTCCAATTCGCATGCAGTCCGTCCTAAATAGCATTCGAAAATATAATTAGTATGTCCCAAATCGTAGTATGTTGAAAAGTGTGCTAAAGATTCCCGGATGGTCAACTACTTGAGATTAAAATTCGATGCGCATTCTAACAGCTAATGTTGCCCACCACAACACATTGCCCGGTGGACGAGGATTCGATTAGAACTACAAACACGCTTAAAAAGTGTTCAAAAACTACAAACATGGCGGATATGCGAGAACAACGGACAGGCAGAGAAAGGGGTTTGCATGATACATTATCAATAAATCAGTGCACAAAAAAATAAATATTACTCCAGTAAAAGTACTCCTTTTTCAATTTTACTCGAGTGAAAGTACAAAAGTACTCGATTTTTTAATGTACTTAAAAATACTGATAGATTTATTTTTCAACTTTATATAGGCTACTTAATTGAATTTTAATATTAGCACATATTTTTTATAATCCTACTGCTCAAAATACCTGGGATTTCCCCAAAATAACCACTATATGGAGTCCAGATATATGTTTGTAAACGGTTAACGTTACGGCAGCGGGGAATATGAACGTGCATGAGTTATTTTATTTAGTCTGTGTTATTTTAATGTTTCCGTTTTTCTTTTTTTTTTTTACCTAAACCATAGAGACTCTGATGTTGATGTGTCTGCATTCAAACATTTCAGTGGGCTTAAATAGATCACCCTTTACAGCAGATTTAGTTCACAAACAACTGACAGCTTTGACCGAAATATGATCTTCAGTTACAATAATTAATCCTAAAATTCGACATTAGTAACTTACTTTTAGCAGCATCAGACGCGTGCGCTCTCACAAGATTTCCCGGTTCTTACTTGTGAATTCAGTTCACTGGGGACTCGCACTAAATGGTACATTTGAATCAGGAGGATAAAAAAAATATTTAAATACTTTCTCGCAATTATATCGTTGGGTAAGTATAGGCGACTGTATATAAATTCCGGGCATCAGGGAGCCGCTATTGAAATTTCACTTTCACTTTTGAGATTCACGATCACAAGGACTCTATGGAGTGGCTGTACTTACCACACATTTGACAAGATTAGATGTTTGTCATTGGTGCTCAGGATCTGCAAATCATCGCCATCGTCCTATCAGACATCTCTCCTTACTCTGTGTATGTGGTAAGTGAACTTTAATGTACTGTAATGCAACAGGCTACCGCTAGCAAGCGGCTAACCCTTTAGTGGCTCCGTAGAACGTGTTATATGTTTCACGCTTCGGGCACACCCCTAACCCCGCCCCCCGATGTCATCGTCCATCACAGTGTTTCACTGCAGATATCGTCCAATGGCAATTTGGTAGACATTACCCAACCCTACTGCAATCGGTTCATTCTAATTCGTGAATGAATCGTTTGGTGTGATGTGCGAACCGATTTAAAAGGTTAATTGAAAAAAATCAGTTTGTTCTTGAATCAGACACCGCTTCTGCGTGTCAGAGCACGTGATATTTTATATCGAGTAACGATATGTTTTATGAAATGTAGTGACGTAAAAGTTACTCAAAATAAAACTACTCCAGTAAAGTACAGATACTTGAAAAATGTAATTAAGTACAGTATCGAAGTAAAACTACTCAGTTACTGTCCACCACAGCAGGGCTCTCAAGTTATAGCAAAAGTTTGGAGGGAGATTAGGGGAGGGGCCACTTAAAGGGGAGGAGCCATTCAAATATTTCCAGCACCCAATTCTCTCAAGTTTTCGCTAGCAGTAAAATGTTTGCCTATTGTTAATAATTGACCTGAACAAATAGAAATTATAACAACTGGTAAATCTGATTTTTTAAAAAAACAGACGAATTCCTCCATATAAAATAAATAGGTTTATGCATTTAAAAAATGCAAATGTATCAAAAATAAAAATACATTTGGCTACAAATGAGCCAACTGAAGAGCAGTGCTCAATGTACATACTGTACACATACAGTAGGATTGCAGAATTTGCCCTGTGGATGTATGTCAAGCTGTGTGTGTGAGTGTGATTTTGGCATCCTAGGTGTATATGACTTTCTTCTTTCAGACGAAGTTATATTAAAAATGGTCTTTTATCTTCCAAGCTGTTTAATGGCAGTCAGCGGGTGTTGCAGTGCTTCAGTCCAAAAGAAGTTAAATAAAGAGCATCCATCCATAATAAGAAGTGCCTCACACGTCTGCTTGAACAAAGGCCTCCTGTAGCGAATTGATGCATTTTTGTAAGAAAAATAACCATATTTAAAACATAATAATCACTTTAATGCAGCTTGCGCTCACTGTTGTAAACGGAAGCAGTTCCGGGCGGATGACGTCGGCGTTGCACCGCTCAGAAGTAACGAACGCGGAAGCGCAGCGGAGAGATCAAAACAAAACAACGGTCACTAATTAAAAAGTACAAAACGAGGATATGTAAAGAAGAACGTCGGAGGATTTCGATATAAGCCAAGAGGAGACTGGGTTTCCTTTGCTAAAGTAAGGAAACTTTGCTTCCTTTGCTCCTGTTAACAAACGTTGGTTTTCACAAGACACACCAGCACATGCACAGTGCTGAACTCATACGTCATCCGCCCGGAGCTGCTTCCGTGTACAACTGTTGGCGCAAGCTAGATTAAAGTGATTATTACGTTTTGAATATGGATTTTTTTTTATTTTTACAAAAAGCATCGATTCACTACAGGACACGTTTGTTCAACCAAGGTTTGTGGTTTATTATCCTATTCATTAAAACACATCAGCCATAGAATAGTACAATGGCAAATTCGCATAGGCTGTATTAAACATCCAACTTTTATTAACAAAATGAATAAGATGGATATAGAGTTGTGTTGTAACCCAAATAAATAAGGTCTAAAGACACTCACTTATATTAAGCAAAGAAATTAAAGTTTTATTAACAAAAGTAGCGCTGTTGGACATATCTTGTCACGTGACCCCCCGCGTAAAAAACGTTCCCGCGGTTATGTATAATTATTAACTGTAAATATCACAAATGCTCTGTAGTTAATAGGGAATTGAGAGCACTTCACACTTGCTTATATAAGATCTGCGTTGTTGATAACTTAAGGAATCTGTGATTAATCTCTTACAGATCTATGTAATACACTATTATGAAGATGGCATTTATTAAAGAGGAGAGTGAAGACATGAAGTTTGAAGAAACATTCAGAGACAAACATGAAGATACTGAGGAACAAACAAAGATGGCGTTTATTAAAGAGGAGAGTGAAGACATGAAGATTGAAGAAACATTCAGAGCCAAACATGAAGATACTGAGGAACAAACAAAGATGGCGTTTATTAAAGAGGAGAGTGAAGACATGAAGATTGAAGAAACATTCAGAGCCAAACATGAAGATACTGAGGAACAAACAAAGATGGCGTTTATTAAAGAGGAGAGTGAAGACATGAAGATTGAAGAAACATTCAGAGCCAAACATGAAGATACTGAGGAACAAACAAAGATGGCGTTTATTAAAGAGGAGAGTGAAGACATGAAGATTGAAGAAACATTCAGAGCCAAACATGAAGATACTGAGGAACAAACAAAGATGGCGTTTATTAAAGAGGAGAGTGAAGACATGAAGATTGAAGAAACATTCAGAGCCAAACATGAAGATACAGAGGAACAAACAGGTTGGTTTTCATTCTCAAAGCTGAACTCACTCATCTGATCATTATTAAAACGCTCTACAGAAAGGAATGATATTTTTGAAGAATGTCATGAGTTTTGTTATTAAAATTGTATTTGACATGGAGCGGGTCGCATCGTGTTAGGGTTGCCACCTTCAGCGAGGCAAAATAAGGGACATTATATGTGGTACAAAATACTTATTTATTGATTCAACTTTGGCCTTTGTAAAATACGGGACAAATCGTGTCACATCATTTTACCTTTAAATACGGGACAATTCCATATTTTAAGGGACAGGTGGCAACCCTACATCGTGTGGACAGACATGTTGAGACAAAGACTATAGAATACCAAAGACGTGTCACTCGTATAGTTTTGAATGGGGAAAAATGCAACGCTCAATATGGCCGCTCAATCGCAGGAAGCTTAGCAAACAGTTTTGGAGAATTTGATGTTTCCCTCATTCAAAAGAGATAGGAGTTGCACTTGCATGCCCAAGAGGCGTTTCAAAGATGGCCGCCGAGTGACATGACTTGTCTTAAAAGGACTTTGGTTGAGATCACATGAGCCATTACCATTAAACATACGCAACTAAGATTACACAATAAACTTTGCTCTTTTTTTAGCATCATCACTTTGAATAATGGGAAGAAATTTTAAGATCACATTTAACACCTCCTTTAATAGCTTAGTGCTTAGTGTTGTTGGTTTTGATGTTTGTTCTTTGTGCCATTAAAAATGGTGTTAATCTGGATTTGTGTTTTTTGCATTAGACCTGATGACACTGAAAGAGGAGAGTCAAGAACTCAGTGTTCAGCATGAGAAATATGATTTCATGACTGGAGAAAAATCATTTAGATGCTCGCATACTGAAAAGACAGCAAATAGAAGTTATTTCACCTGCCAACAGTGCGGGAAAAGTTTCACCAGAAAAGGAAATCTTGAAGTCCACATGAGAGTTCACACCGGAGAGAAACCTTTCACCTGCCAACAGTGTGGGAAGAGCTTCATTAAAAAACCAAACCTTAAAAACCACAAGAGAATTCATACAGGAGAGAAGCCTTACACATGCTCTCAGTGTGGGAAAAGTTTTAAACATAAACAACACCTCGATGACCACATGAGGATTCACTCTGGAGAGAAGCCTTACACCTGCTCTCAGTGTGGAAAGAGTTTCACTCACAGAGGAAACCTTGGAGACCACAAGAGAGTTCACACCGGAGAGAAGCCTTTCACCTGCAAACTGTGTGGAAAGAACTTCATTCGAAAACCAAACCTTAAATACCACATGAGAATTCACAGTGGAGAGAAACCTTTCATATGTTCTCAATGTGGAAAAAGTTTTAAACATAAACAACACCTCGATGACCACACGAGGATTCACTCTGGAGAGAAACCTTTCACCTGCCAACAATGTGGAAAGAGCTTCATTCAAAAAGGAAACCTTAACAAACACATGAAGATTCACAAGGGAGAAAGACCGTTTACATGAGTTTCGGACGTAAAGTAGCTCTTTAACGTGTACTATCACACCGTTATTATTCTTTTTGTACATGTATACTAAGCTTTGGCTATTTTGTATCATTTACAGTCATGCCAATAAAGCAATTTTGAATGGAATTGAATTGACTAAGTGAATGAAGAATAATGCAAGGTGCATGTTGACCGTATTGATGTGAATATGGGGGGGGGGTTGTTTGTGCGCTTCCGCGGGGGCTTACAAAGATACAGAACAGCTACAAGTGTATGCACTACTTGCTTTATGCAAGCACTATATAGGATAAATCACTATACAGGATTTACCCTATTATACTTTATCGACATGAATTGATAGGTGAAACAACAAACAGCCCCACAAATAGTCTATATACAAAGCATCAGGCTGTCTTTGAGTTCACATGAACAACGGTTAAAGTTACTCGTCGTCAGGCTACAGAAGAATACCATAATTCCTCCGTTCAGTTAGGCCTAAGACATCGAGAGTCACGCAGACCTAGAACACCCCAGCCACAACACATACTTGCGAATAATATGCCTTACCTTAACACAGAATCGACCACAGAGTCCAGCGTTTATATTATTTCTATGAATCTTTGAGTTAACATGTACTAAACATGAGTGGAATTTGCACCGCGGCGCCCCCACACCTTGATGCTCATGACAAGAACAGCATGTAGAGTTATCTTTATTGAAGTGAATTAGGTTTAAATCGCCGTCATGCATGAATGAATTAATGATATTTTTGCAATTTTACACATAATAATCCACGATGATCACATTACACAAAACTGAAATTGCACGTCAAAATAACACATTGTCAATATTTTTTGAGCCCCCCCCCCTCAACCCAAATTTCACAAATCACGTTTTCAGGGGAGCCCATGTCTTATTAAGGGGAGCCGAGCTCCCCCGTAGTTCACACGCTAGCAGTCCCACTCGCTGAAAGCTGCACGGAAAAAGCGAAAGTTACCGGCAAAATGTTTTATACTGGCTCTTGGCACAGGAGAACACCATATTGTATAAAACAACTTTCACTTTCTCACTTTTTCTGCTTTTCAAAAAATCTTTCTTTTCGCTATTACCACAAACACCGTGGACGAAGCGGAGTCCAGCCCGGGGTCGTCACATGGGGTCACGCGCTGTTCTCAAGCCTACCGCCTCCGCTCACGCTAGGCCGCCGTGCGTGACGCTGTGTTTCGTTGTGAAAGCGAAACTACTTTGTTTGGTCTTCCAAAAGAGGACACGACTAGAAATCAGTGGTTAAGTTGTATTTACAACACTGTTCCAGAACACTTCAACCCAAATATTCAGATATGTGCAGCACATTTTAAGGAGGACTGTGTCCTGATCCTGGGAGAGTAGACTACAATGCCGGCTGTTTTGACTCGCAGATTGTAAGCAAGTTTTTTATATTTAAAGAGTTTTTATATTCTATATTTTTTATATTTAAATGAGTTTTTTGGTAGGGCTTGTTTGTCGTTTCTCTGATCACAAATGCAGACAGGGTTTTATGTTTACGCGGCTCGATGCAACGCAACGCGTAAAAAGATAGTATAAGTCATTATAATCAGTAATTATGTCTCCACTGGATGCAACAAATGCCTCGTTTATAATGGGTTTTAATGTTTATGTCTCGTCGCTCCGGCCGGACAGGGCAGCACAGTATGGTGAGGGGCGTAACATTTCCGTCACACACTTGAGGCATTCGACCAATCACAACGCACTGGATAGCTGGCCAATCACAGCACACCTCGCTTTTCAGACTGATGAGTTTTGTAAAAATCGATGAGTTTCAGAAAGGCGGGGCATAGAGGAGAAACAATAATGTACAGTATGTGGAAAATAATGTGTTTTTTGAACCTTAAACCGCATAAACACATTTCATTACTTCAAATACACAAAATAATGTTCTTTTTAGCAACTTCACATGACCCCTTTAATGTACATTTACTTAATCTATGATGCTCTGTTTAGTTTCAATGTGTTCAATGGCTTTCATGTATTTCTGGTGAATGTCTAGTTTTGCCTTTGTTGTAATTAAAGTTTTGTATTCTTTAATAATAAAGAATTGTTTCATTTGAGACGATGGTAGAGTGCTTACTTTACGTGCATAGTGTGAAGTATGTCATTTGGGACACACCCTGCTCTCTCACCTTCTTCACTGCTTTCCAAACACTGTAATGAAATGAAGGAATGAACGAGGGATCGGTTTCGGACACGGCATAGGCCGCCGGAGGGTTTGAACCTTAAACCGCATAAACACATTTCATTACTTCAAATACACAAAATAATGTTCTTTTTAGCAACTTCACATGACCCCTTTAATGTACATTTACTTAATCTATGATGCTCTGTTTAGTTTCAATGTGTTCAATGGCTTTCATGTATTTCTGGTGAATGTCTAGTTTTGCCTTTGTTGTAATTAAAGTTTTGTATTCTTTAATAATAAAGAATTGTTTCATTTGAGACGATGGTAGAGTGCTTACTTTACGTGCATAGTGTGAAGTATGTCATTTGGGACACACCCTGCTCTCTCACCTTCTTCACTGCTTTCCAAACACTGTAATGAAATGGAGGAAGGAATGAACGAGGGATCGGTTTCGGACACGGCATAGGCCGCCGGAGGGCGTCACGTGATAATTAGCATATTCCTGACGTCACTCTATTCTCTAAATTGTCACATATTATATTTTAATACAACTGAATCCACAATTGATGTCAGACATGAAACAATATAGTGACTAAACGGGACCCATTAACCAGCAGTCACTTTCACTGACCTGCTAAAATCCTGATTTATAACTGCGACATGATCTGGCAAAAATCACCATACAATTACGTTAAAGAGTGGCTATATGTAGTGATTTTGGATGTATTAACGCAGAGCGCAGCATCCATCTGGGAAACAAACGATGAATCAGCTGTGGTCAATATGGGGCCATATTGACGATATTTGTCTACTGGATGGCTTACTCAAAAAGCGTAAAATGTACGTTAATGACAAAGATACTTCGTTGGCAACATTGATTTTGTGCGTGTGTGTGTGTGTGTGTGTGTGTGTGTGACTAGGCCAGGAGGGGGGGCGGGGTCTGACTAAAACCGTATCTACACCGTACTCTACTGGATGGCTTACTCAAAAAGCGTAAAATGTACGTTAATGACAAAGATACTTCGTTGGCAACATTGATTTTGTGCGTGTGTGTGTGTGTGTGTGTGTGTGTGTGAGACTAGGCCAGGAGGGGGGCGGGGTCTGACTAAAACCGTATCTACACCGTACGCGAGCAGCGCGCGATGCAACAAAATGCCTCGTTCTTAATGGGTCATATATTAAATATGTCATGTCAACTTATATGTCATAATATTGGTATACGTCATATGTGAACATAAACATATTCTCATACAGACAAACAACAAAATTTAAGACGGGAGATAAGTAACTTTTCTTCCCGTTCACTGCGTTATGTCCTTGTGTTCCAGACGGAGTTGCTATTCGTTCTGGGACATTGGAGTGAAAACCATGATCCACTTCATTGGCAAGTTGTCTTAAAATATTAGCAATGGTAGGCTACTTGCATGTTTTATGCACTATGACATTAAAATGGCAACACAAAAGCAAATTAAAGCGGGATAAAGCTCTAACTGTCCAATGAGAGTGAGAGAGGGGTTGGATCTTCAAATTGAAGCGAAAGTTGATTGGTTGCTCCCACGTGTGTACTGTCCAATGGCATTTTTTAACTCGATTGACAAATGGATAAAGAAAAGCATTTGGCAAAAGGACAAGGAAAAGCGATTTAAAATGTGCATTTAAAATTATTTATTCATGTACTTTTTATTATTTTATTAAAACTAAAATAAAACTTGAAACTTGATTTATTAATGTACTTTTTGTCTTTTTATTTATACATTTAAAAAAAGATTTTTTAAAATGTATTGTTTTTATTAAACTGCAATTTTAAATCACGAATTAAATAAACATCTTTAAATATGTCCATTAATTTGTCCATTTAAAAAGTGATTTATTTATATACAATATTATGTTTGAATTATTAAATTAATAAATTGATTCTTCATTTTATTTTTAAGTGGCACTCACGGTCCTCCATATCGTAGGTGGCTCAAGTCTTAAATGAATGAAATCATTGTATGAGAAGGTGATAAAAGCCTGTAATTTTATTACTGTAATATTGAGCACTGAAGAAAGCATGGGCTGAAACGTCTGCTCTTTGGTCTGTTTTTAAAACGCTTTGCACTTTTGTCACTTTTTCACTTTTGCCTATGGAAAATAAACTGTATTTTTGATAGACCGTTTTTGGTCTGATTGGATTTTTCCAGTGTGCGGACAATTTCAGCTACCTTTTGGATTAAAACTTTCTTCTTTTGTTCTACGCACCTGAGAACTCATTGAGCACACACAATTCCTGTTTGATTACTGTAATATTTAAAAAAAGAACAAAAACACAATTTGAGTTTTGAAAATGTAAAAAAATAAAATAAAATGCTTGCTCCACTAGCCAGGTTTCCATCCAAGGATTTTTTGCGAAAAAAAAATCTAGCTCTTCAAATTTTTACTGATATAGCTGATGGAAATGCCATTTATCGATAGAATTTATGCGCTAAAGTTAAACGGAAAAAGATTGTGTCGACACATGAGAAATTTTATATCGATACTTCAAATGTCGCAAAAATTTGTTTGGAAACCCTTTTTGTCGAGGGGCTTTAACACAAATAAATGTGGTGTCGCATGACAGAATTAGCCTATAGGCAGCATCCGTGTTCGTGGTGTTGCACGTTAAAGCACCGTTTCTCTGTTCAAAAGCGCATTAAATCATATTCATATTATTGTTTCTAAAATTATTTTATGTATGGTTAGAAAAAGATGAGTTACCTCTCAAACATACATATCTTAATTTAATGTTGCTTTAATACGCTGCAAGTTAAAATGTATTAATTTTGTTCTGAAGATGTAAGTTGTCGAGTTAGTAACGCTTAACTGCGTGCGTGAGGCACCGGCACGATCACTTGATTTTTTTTTCTCCTCAT